AATGAATGTATAAAATCGACAAGTATCTCCAATGTATGAATGAAACAAGCATACACGACACTCCGGTGAATAAAAGAAGGTATGTTACCCTTTACCACCCTTTGGAAAATACGACGGGTTAACATTTCGACATTAAGTCGAAATAACACCCCATGGCTAAGGCCATCGCCACGAAAGAGTTCGATATCATTCGAACCACGACGGGTTAACATTTCGACATTAAGTCGAAATAACACCCCATGGCTAAGGCCATCGCCACGAAAGAGTTCGATATCATTCGAACCACGACGGGTTAACATTTCGACATTAAGTCGAAATAACACCCCATGACTAAGGCCATCGCCACGAAAGAGTTCGATACCATTCGAACCACGACGGGTTAACATTTCGACATTAAGTCGAAATAACACCCCATGGCTAAGGCCATCGCCACGAAAGAGTTCGATACCATTCGAACCACGACGGGTTAACATTTCGACATTAGGTCAAAATAACACCACATGGCTAAGGCCATCGCCACGAAAGAGTTCGATACCATTCGAACCACGACGGGTTAACATTTCGACATTAAGTCAAAATAATACCCCATGGCTAAGGCCATCGCCACGAAAGAGTTCGATACCATTCGAACCACGATGGGTTAACATTTTGACATTAAGTCTAAATAACACCCCATGGCTAAGGCCATCGCCACGAAAGAGTTCGATACCATTCAAACTACGATGGGTTAACATTTCAACATTAAGTCAAAATGACACCCCACGGCTAAGGCTACCACCATAGAAATGAGTTCGACATCGCTTGAACCACGATGGGATAACACTCCGACATTAGCTCGAAAGCAACATCCCTATGGCTAAAGACGTTATCAAAGGAAAAAGCTTGACATAAGAGCAATATCGCTCGAAACGCAATAGGTAACATTTTGACAACTCAAAATAAGCATGACTACGACAAAGGACGTCGCCAAATAAACAAACACGACAAGAAAACAATTCAGAGGTACACAATAAAAAGTAATTGCTCTATTACAGTTGTTGTATTACAAAAGTTTTTTACAAAGGGCTCAAGAACGCCCCCACAAAAATGGCAAAGCAAAATGAATACAGCCAAGTCCTATGACGTATCACCCCCCCCGTGGCATACTCCTCATTGTACCAAGAATCAGAGGCGAGCTTGTCTTCATCGTTAAAATCGACATCGTCTCCACTAGGCGTAACGGGGTCATAACCACACGCCTTTCGAGCGACACACGCTTTAATACACACCCCTCGGAGTTCTACCTCAGATATTTTCCCATCAGTGTGAAGAGACTTATATACGTCAAGCTAGGCTTCGGCTTGAACCCATAGCTCATATAAATCTCGAGGCACGATAGAGTCGGTCGAAGCATGGGAAGTAGAAGGCTGCGACTGTCGTCGTACGTCCTCCGCTTTCAAAGCAACAACTTGTTTGTTTAATGCGGACAATTCCGTCTCCAGATCTTGAATACTCCCCTCAAATCTCTCTACCTTAAGCACAAATGCCTCCACCTCCTTGTCCCGCTCCAACCTACAAACACGGAGGGCGTCTTCCAAAGTTGTTGCTTCAGATATGGCAGTTTCCTTATCCCTTTCGGTGTGAGCCAACTCGTCAGCATTAGTAATCAACTCACCCTTAAGGTCAACGACCTCCGACGCCTTCCTGTCAAGCTCAGCGGTAAAATTGTCCACCTTTACTTGGAAATCGGCATTTTCGGCCATCACTCCCTTACTCAGCTCGATCTCGTCTTCGCTGATCTTAAGAGCTGCCTCGAGTTCACTACAATGGGCAATATCCTTCATAAGGTCCTCATCTCGTTCTTTTAGTTCTTCAACCTTATGCGCCAGTTGATCCTCCTTTTGCTTAAGCCCATCGCGGAATAGCTGAAAGTCGCGATCCTGAGTGAAGATGTCGGCCATCGCACGATGCTTGGTGCGGTATTCTTTGGTATTTGGAGAGCATCTTCCCATAGACGGTCGTCCTCCGCCTTTCCCGATGTTCACGCTCGATCTCCATGATGAGGGTCTAATATAAAAAACAAAGTCAAAACAAAAAAATGGGCTAAGGATGCAAAATAGATCCAACGACAAAAAGAAAAAGAAAAGCATTTACCCATAGAGCCATGCCAGAGATGCTCCGTGACAACTCTGCATCACTCATCGCTTTAAGTGTCGCATTCTCAGGAGCAACACATAAAGGGGCAAATACCGACGCCACTTGGTCGCAGTTCGACAACAAGTCGTAGTCCCTAGGAACGACTATGTGCCGATCAGAACCCTCCGTTCTAACCTCTACATGAGTGTGACGCTCCAAGAACTCTCGTACATTTCCTGGGTCGACGTCTGAACCCAAGCCGTCGCCCCCGACGTGTACCCCTCCTCTAATGGCGGATGATGCACCAACCTCGGCGAAACGCACAGACCCCCCTCCTTGGTATACTCCTTCCGTCTGAGGGGATCTCCCCACCAAAATGACGTGCGCCATAAAAACGGGCATAGGTGCCGTCTCCGACGCACCAGTTCCACTCTTACCAACATCAATGGCAACGTCCTTCCCGAGTTCTACCCTCCTCTTTTTTCTCGACGGAGATTAATCCCCATACAGGACTCATCTACGAGATGATATGCCGGTCTAGAAGTGATCTCATCCCTTACAACCATATCCCGAGATGAGTCTTTCACCCGTATAGGCTGAGCACGAACCCCTCGAATGGACTCCTCCAACGTAAATTGCATCCCCGCCAATGCGATGGCCTGGCGAAAGGCAGGGACTGTGGCCCTCTTCCTAGAAGCCCTACGACTTGTCACCACGAGGGGTCGTATTAATAAACAACGACAAATAGCCAAAGGTTAAAACAAAAGATAACATTTATCGGATGGAGCCTTCGGCCTAAAACGTTTAATGAAAGAAGGCCAATCTCGAGTTTCCACTACGTAAGGCAACAAACGACCCACCCAGTCCTCTATATTGACGATGGGACGGGGTGTACGCCTTGCAACTGCAAAAGAAAGTTACAAATGAATACCAAGTTGGAAAGGACAAAAGTAGATAACAAGTACCAATACCTACGATTGTTATTCCACCGCTCAGGGAATCCAGCAGAGTCCGACATAAGATGCTCGGTTTTAACGAAGAAGTATTTATGCCAAAATTTATGGCTCGTACGATCATCTGTTCTGACCACCAACCCCTTGGTACCACGATGTCTCAAATGAATCATGGTGCCCATGTGAAAACTAGAGGAAAACAGATACAAGAGGTGGCGAAGGTCAACTTCCCACCCCGTTAACTCCGTGTACTTCGTCAATACTAAAAATATCTTGTATGTATACGGAGAGAGCTGTGCTAGGCAGACACCATAGAACCGATAGAATCGATGGGATATTTTTAAAAAGCACAATACCCTAGTCTATAGACTTCCATGAGGTCCCTCCCAGCCGGAACCATCTCAACACGGGAGGGAATGTTATACGTAGATCGAAGGTCATCTATGTGAGCCTGCTCGGTCTCAGAAATCACCGGAGCAGGAGAATGAACAGGCTCTTTAAGGAAATCATTCCGAGACATGGGGTTTCTTGGTAGTATCTCCTCTATGGTGGGGAGGCTGTCCCCTTCCTCTACCGTCACATTCTCACCACCAAGGGGAGGTGCTATAGAAAGTGGGGAGGCGTCAGAAATATCTTCGAGGGAACGATGTGTTCTAGGCATCTCGATGTCAGAGGGTATATTGATAAAACAAAAGAACGATGAACGGAAGAAGGTGAAGAGAAAAATCACGAAATTAGAGCTGAAAATACGAGAAGAGATGGCCAAATAAGATAACACATATACTAGAAAGGAAATGATCGAAAGTTCTTGAAAGAACCAAACCTTCATCTATTTATAAGGTTTGGATGACGCCAGAATCGAAGCAAAAGGCTGCCAGTGGCACCAAAATCGAAGCGACAAGCCAATTGGTCTCTGCCTCGGGAAGACGCGCAATGATGATGCACGTGAGAGTGAAGTCATTTCCTAATATACTACGCTAGCCGGAATACCGTAGATTATGCCGCTCTTTCGTTATTTGATCAAACCATTACAATCTAACCGCTAAATTTCTCCGCGGGAATGAGCGGCGTCCGCTTATCAAGGACGCACGGTGCCACGACCTCAACAAGCGGAGGGACTAACTGTATGGGTCCGAATTTGGCCACCACGACCATTACCGAGTAGGATGAGGAACGAGGTTATCGTGATGCACCGTCTGATGGTTTTCGTAGTGAAAGGTAACGACTGAGGGCTGTCAGTCGATGCATAACGTCCACGACAGTGCCCATCTAGTGGGAGACAGTAAGAATATGCCTTTCGAATATTCTCTATGTTGTACTTTTTAGGGGTTTTTGGGAGATTGTCCCTTATAAATAGGAGAGGGGAGAACACTTTGTGGAGGAAGGATCTGAGATTGAAATAAAGAGCGGTCTTGTTTATCAGAAAAGATCCTAAGGTTCTCCAATCATCCCACACTTATTCTCCCTTACACCGATTGCATCTGTAACGGTTCTACTTATGCATTTAAGTATTCACATTTATGATCTTTTATTATTGAATTTGAATAGACTTATTATATCTTTCATCCTGTTTACTCATTCCATCATTTGATCTAGATTTTATTGTGCTTGACTAAGATTGGCCTCATCCTTATTATTAGTTATTTTAATCAAAAAAGTTTTAATATCTTTGGGTCAAACACTACTCCATCGGGGTAGGTAAGGTCTGCGTACACACTACGCTCCGCAGATTCCTCAGATGTGGGATTTTACTAGGTTATTGTTGTATTATTACCCAATAAAAATTATTTTATTATAAAACATTAAAATATTTATTGCATTTATAATAGTTTCTAATTATCTAATTTTTACGTTAAAAGGATAACATAGGTATATTTAATTGAGATCGAAAATCAGAAAAATTTAAACATCATTTTTCAGTATGGAGTAGGATCTTTTTAACCGCCACACGTGTCCGTATTCTATTGGATAATTCTCGTCGGTGCACATACTCCGGTGTCACAAACCGTCTCCTTTTTCTTTTTATAAATAAGGCGGCTTTACAACTTGTGCAACAAGAAAGTTGATCTGCTCGTTTCTCATATTCAAACATCGGTTAGCCCATTTTTTAAAAATTTAAATTGATTATTTGTTTTGAATTGTCGATATATGTTTGTATCAATTGTTTGCTTCAGCTGTTGCATTGAAATTATAGTAAGAATTGATTTGAATTTGTCTCCTTTTGAATTTTATGTTTGATTCGTTTCAATTGTATGCTTCAGCTGCTGCATTGAAATTCTTGACAGAATTGGTAAGAAATTACCTTTTCTGTGAGTTGATTAGTAATGGACGTGAAAATTCTTAATGACCCTTCTGAGGTTTATGTTTTTTTTTTTTCCAAAAAATTGTGTGCTTCAGCTGCTGTATTGGAATTATTGAGAGAAATGGTATAAAGTTGTCTTTTTTGTTAGTGGATGAGTAATGAGTGTGAAAATTCTTAAAGGTCCTTTTGAGGTTTGTGCTTGATTCTTTTTAAAAAAATTATTTTTTTAAATATTTTTTTTTGGTATGGATTTGTGTTGTTGTGATATGGTTTATGGGTAGCTGCTAAATGATTTTCAAGTCTTATGGACATTTGTGGCTAATTTATATTTGAGGTGTTAAGCAGAATGCAGATGAATAATGTTCAAACTTTTAGCTTTTGCAATGAAATCCTTGAAAAATTGGTGTTTTTCTCTTAATAAATTAATGATGATAAAAAAAAAAGGGGGCAGCCCGATGCACAAAGTATCCCACGTTCACGCAGGGAAGGGCCGCACCCCAAGGTTGTGATGTAGTCAGCCTATCCTAATGCGCTGCTTATACAGTTCGAACCCGTGACCTATAGGTCACACGTGGACAACTTTACCGTTGCTCCAAGGCTCCCCTTCAAATGGATTAATGATGATGCTGTGAATAATTTTGAGGATCGCCCTTATGAGGTGTCTGTTTGAATATGAAATGTGATTGGTGTTATTTCACTTTGATGAGTTATAAAGGTAGCTTCAAAACCCCTAAAAGCATTATTTATATTTACAAATATGTGGATGGTCCAGCTATACCTGAGCTTCATGGAAAAATTGGATTTGTGTTTCTATGAATGTGATGGGTGTGAAGATTCTTGAAGAACCCTTTTGGGTTTCTGTTGAAATTTGATCTTTGATTGTTATTCTTACAATTCAATTGGTCTGTAAGTTGCTCGAAAACTGTTGTTTGAAGTTTCATTTATCATTGTAATATGTGGCGGCTTCAGCTGTTTTGTTGAAATTATTGAAAAAAATTAGCTTGAATTCATGTTTCTGCAAGTTCATTAGCGATAGGTGTGAAGTTCTTGAAGAAAAGTATAGTTTGAATTTGATCATTGGTTTGTGCTCTCAGTAATTCAAGTTATTGGAACATTTGTTTATTTTCACTTTTTTTTTTTTTTTTTTTTTTTTGCATGCTTTAATTTAGAGGCGTTAATCTTAATAGAGATGTTTCCTAGTAATTTGCTCAAACATTTGTGTGTGTTCTATTGTTCAGCTGTTGTAACAAACACTCTGAAGTTCTTCCTGAGTTTGGTTTTATGTTTCGAATTTGATCTCATTTATGTTATTGCAGTTTGATGGTACAATAGGTTAGCTTCAAAAACCTTCTAAGGACCCTTCTTAATCTGAAATTATTCTGATTTGCTCTGTTTGTGCTTCTAAATGGCATGAGATGTGCTTTGAAGCAAAAGGTATATTGATTAGTGTGCAGCCAAATCCATTCTGCGACAAAATTTTGAATTTAATTGACTTGCTGATTACTTGCTTTTTCAGGTTTCAAACACCAAGAGAAACAAGATGGTCAGAGCATATTCACAAGAGCATATTTACAGGCATCCATGGGAACGAGTGACTTCTGCATCGTGGCGCAAGTTTGCTTATCCTGAGAACAAGCGCGCCCTATCCCACATCCTCGAGGTTGATACGTTGAATCACAAGCTTGACCCCAGCTCTGGAAAGCTCTACACAATTCGTGCCATCACTATACATGCACCAGGGCCATGGTTTATTCGCAAGATCATTGGTCAAGATATCTGCCACTGTGTTGAATCAACTGTTGTAGATGCACAATCTCGGTCAATGCAACTCTCTACTCGAAACATCAGTCTCGAGAACTTTATTGAGGTGGAGGAGAAAATAAGATACGATCCGCATCCTGAGAACCCAAAGTTATGGACTGTCTGCAAGCAGGAAACCAGTATTAAGATTAAGCCCTTGTCAGCACTGGCTTCTATGGCAGAGAAAATCGAGCAGAAATGCGTGGAGAAGTTCCAGGCAAACAGTGCGAAAGGTAGAGATGTTATGGAACGGATGTGCAAGTACTTAGAAGCTGAATCCAGTGGCATTTCAGTGTGACCATGTTCTTGAATAGCTTTAGTTAGTCTTCTTCTGTGAGTAGTATTTAGGATTTGCTCACTTTAGAGATGAGAGGTGAGATTTTTTGGTGAAACATTTGTTGGCCAATGAGTTTTGCAAGTTCTTGTTGGCAACACAAGGAGTTTCTTTTTTGGTTCAATCATTTTTTGTTCAATCTTTTGAACCTATTTGTAAACAGCATTACATATAATAATATGGCAATCCCCAAACTCCCTGAGCCGATGGTCTATTGGAAACGGCCTCTCTATCCCCACAAAGGTAAGGGTAAGGTTTGCATACACACTACCCTCCTCACACCCACCAAGCAGGATTACAATGGGTATGTTATCGTTGTTGTAATCCTTGAACTACATTTGCGTTGTTGTAATCCTTGAACTACATTTGATAGTGTGATTAGAAATCAACTTGAAGATATACATTTGTTGTATGTCTGGCTTGAAGGTGCGGAGCATAATCATCTAAAATATTGTGAAAGACTAGAGGAGGTATTAAGAATTCATCATAAATTGACCAGTTTTAAGATGAATGTCAGCCAATCGTGTCCTTTCTTACTTTACCGGCACTGGGAGCAAACTCACACAGGTAAAGTTATTTGAGGGGATATTATAATGGAAAAAATAAATTGGGAGAAATTCAATAATAGTCAGATTTACAATTGGTTATTCAAAAATAGCCACAGTTTCAAAAGTAATCGAAATTTAGCCACTTTTTATGTAAAGATGAATCTGAACGAAAACATTGTTCAAAATCCGGAAAATGCTCTAACATAATATACTAGAACTCCAGAATATTATACTGGAGTTCCAGCATAGTTATATTGGAACTACCGGTCCAACATAATATGCTGAAAATTCACACATAGGTGCTCCAATCTTCAGTATATTATGCTGGAAATTTCCTCGTGTTGGAGTTCTAGCATAATATGTTGGAAGTTCATACACAGGTGCACCGATCTCCAGTATATTATGCTGGAAATTTCCTCGTGTTGGAGTTCTAGCATAATATGTTGGAAGTTCATACACAGGTGCACCGATCTCCAGTATATTATGCTGGAACTTTCTGTGTTGCAGCAAAATAGTGGTTATTTTTCCATGACTTTGCAAATACTGATTATTTTTGAATGACCAGTACGAAAATTGACTAGCCCGTGCTATTTTTACGGAAAAATTGTACATGAATCCGGTATTTACACCTAACCAATGATCCAAAATATGTCTCTTGTTGCAATTTTATCACTTAACCATAGATACATGAAATGTGCAACTGATCCATTCATTTAAGTTCTAAGTATTGATTATTTCAGCTTTTCACCTCCACAGTAGTTTGACTACTGAACTGTCACTCGCCAGAATCCAAGAAAAAATCAGCTCACACAACAAGGTTACGGGTTCGTGCCGTGAAATTAGCTACTAGCCGTCAGTTTAAACAAACAACTAACTGAAAAGCAAGCTTATTCAAACTCATGTGCACTCACGAAACATGATTATAGCCCAAAACAATGCCACACATAAACACAAATACTTCAACAACACTATAGGTAAATCCAGCAGTAAAACAAGTCTATTAAACGCATAAAAGCGACGCAGAACACCAAGAAAGCAAGGTAAGTTAGAGATAACACACTACACATTGGAACAAGTGAAGCCAGATAGAAGATCCATGCGAATAATTTACAATGCCAAATTACAATTTCCATGGATGTTAGCCATGTGAACAAGAATGACACATAACAAACCTAATTCATATTGACCAAACCAGTACATACAAAGACTTGAAACTGGAGTCAACAAACAAATCCTACCTATGACAATGAATAGGAGTTCTTCCGCCTGGAGATGTTTTTCAAATTTCCTGTGATGAGCAATCAGAGTAAGTCCTCTTTTGAACTAAAAGGAAAGCACGAAATTTGAGACCAACAACCCATTCTAGATCTTGTCAAGTTTTTCAGCCTTCACAACAGGATTGGCCTTTGCAATAGCATCGCGACCAGCAGAGCGGTAGTCAAACTGGCAGTCATGTTTGTCTGAGTAGCGGTGTGATCCACAGTAAAGGTTCCCACAGCGGCATTTGAATCCAGTCAAACCAACCTTTTTCTTGCAAGAGCTGCACCGACTAGGACCCACCTTAGTCTTCAATTCAGCAGCTTCACCGGCACTTGAAGATGGAGGTGATGACAAAGCGACAACAGATTTTGTTTCCAGCACGGCAGGTTGCATGTCTACAGAGTCAACAACAACTGGCCCCTTCTCACTAGCATTTGATCCATTTACAAGGTTTTCAATAGATGTCGCTGCAAGCTTTGCTTGTTCCTGTTTCAAAATAGTGTCCTTGTAACACTTGGAGCACATATTCATGTTTGCAGCACTTCCAAAGAAACCACAGTTGTTAATGCACAAGATAGGGCCTTCTGGATGGGATTGGCATCCTGTCTCGTCATGCTCCATATCGTCAACTTTCCTGCAAAAGATTCATCTACAGATAAACATTAACAAGAAACTACACCTTAATCCTGAACGGAAAACAATTGTATTTCAAGACAAATTCGAGGTTTTCTGAAACCAAATTTTCCTTGATCTCACATGTATCCTAACACGGATATATGAGTTTCTAACCGAAGTAAAAGAGCACCTAATGAACACTTGATCTAACACTCTAACTTAAGTGTAACAATAATTAAGTCTTAATCCAACTAGTTGGTATTGCTTATATAGATCAGCCTTTGCTTCTGTTGTGCCCTATCCTTAGCTTTTGAGGCAGCTTCTCTCCAAGTGATTTTCATCAAATTGTCACACTTACAGAGCAGTGCATATGAAAGGTCGATCTACGACAGTCGACAGGACCAAACCATCTCGCTGAATGATGACCTTATCTCACCTTATCCTGTAGACGCACTATTTGCACCCTATATAGGATGTGATCATCTATAATCTTTTTCGTTTAATCATCCTTGATCTTGTCAAATTTTATATGCTTGTAGATCCACCTAAACTTCCACACTTTGTATGACATTCATCTTGTAGATATGTGCTGCGTTGGAGACCTAACATTCACACCCATATAATATTTCTTGTCTCACAATTGTTCCATAGGACTTGCTTTCACTTTGTTAAGTATCTTCCTACCCTATAACAGTGTTATCAAAGGCGAAAAGCGCAAAAAAGCTCTAAGATCTGTTGGGGTTTTAAGCCCAAAGCGCAAATAAAGCGTGGGCTTTAATAAAGAAAAGCGTAAATGGAAAAAAATGACAAATATGTATGTGTAGTCCAAGACTAATATCTAGAAGCATGAATACCAAATATATTGACAAAGAAACTGAAGAAAATTTATGATAAAGTAAAATATGAATTGTTTAGTGTCGCTTCTTCAGGATTATGCTCATTGGCAGGAAAAGTATGTGTTAGAGCCTTGATGACAACACTGAAGGGCCCGCTAAGCGAGCCTTGATAACACTGCCTTATAACATGTTTTGAGCCTCGCTGCAGGGCTTAAGCACGCATTTGATAACACTGCCCTATAACACTCTCAAGCTTAAGCGCACCTTTGATAACACTGCCCTATAACAGTCTCATAACACTTTAAATCAACGTGTTACATCACTGACAGACTGAACCTAGATTTTAGTTGTCTGCATTTAGGCAGCACGATCCCATCTAAACTCACTTCACCTCTTCAATTAAACAACTAAGCTTCCTGCACCTTCCTTTTCAGAGAAAAGAACAATGTAAAAGAAGAAGAAAAAAGTTCCTCCGCTCTGCCAGCTACAAAAACAAGCATAAATCTTACCAAAATTAGGTAACTACACTATGTCTAAACAAGATTATTCAACTAATCCTCAGAAGGAGCGCTTCTTCGCACAACATAAGAACACAAGATAAAGAGAACACAGTCAGGTGCATCAGATACAACCAACAGAAAACCTTGTAAAAATCAAAAGAAACTGACTAGCAAAATTTAGCAAAGTGCAAGATCGGCACAACAGAAGTCGCAAAAGCCAAAAACTTTCTGGTGTAAACTTAAACTGGATCAAATTCACAACTATGCTAATGCAAAACAAGCAACATTATCACACTTATACTCAAACGTTCTTTGAACACCGTCTTTTAAAACGTTCAGACTCATCTCACATGTTCAATTTGACAAAAAATATGTTGTAACAGCAAAACCTATCAAAGTAGAAAGCCAAAAACAACAACTTGGCTTTACTTTCAGAGTTAATATGCCAAATTCTAGCTTCCAATACACAACCACAAGCAATCTCCATCTCCACGGCATGTACAAGCAACATAAAACCGAAGGAATCAAAAGGTTACTCATAAAACTTCAACATCATTTAAGACAAATGCAAAAAGCACCATTTTTTCCATCCCAAAATACATAACAAACAAGGTAACACCCAAGTAAACAAAAAGGGGTTTCAGAAGAGTTCAATATCCTTAAAGATACCTAATTATTATGAATAAAACAACTCCAAAAACTCAATTTTTTGTAACTGTAACTCCAAAGAGACAATTTTTTTTTTTTTTTTTTTTTTTTTTTTTTTTTTTTTTTTTTTTTTTTTTTTTTGTAATTGTAGCTCCAAAGACGCAATATTTTTTCTTATTGTAACTCCAAAGACTCAATTTTTCAGTAGTCTATGTGATACCCTTCTCATAAAACCACAAAAAGACAATTATTTTACCCACCATAATATCAAATAATTCTCTATAAAGATTCAACAAAAACAAAAAGATATAAACCCCACAAAATAAAATTAACCCAGCAAAGCTGATCTCTAAACAACAAACAAATCAACTCACAGAACAATTAATTCCATAATTACAACAATAAAAAAAAATAATACCTAATTCTCGAAACAATCCATAGATCTATCAAAATAAAGGGGAAAAAATAAATTAAACATCAAAAAGCAGGAAAAAAATGAGATCTTTGAAACTGACCTGAAGAGAGAAATTTTTTGTTGTTGTTGTTGTTGTTGTGATGAATGAAATTTGGAAAATGTTTTCTTTATTTATTATTTTGCCTTTGGCTTTGGACCTTTTTGTTTTCTTTCTTTTTTGCCCTCTTCTCAAAGGAAAAGGAAAGTCTTTTTCTTTGCTTCTCTGCCAACGAACGTTCTTTGCTGATTTGCTGCGTCGTGTTCGATTCCTATTTGTCTTCCTCCTTTAATTTTATTTTACTTTTATTTTTTTACTTTGCCCTCCTTATTTCAGAAAATAG